GTATCGTCGGTAATAACTCAATTTCAATTGGTTTTTTGTCGATTCACGACGATCCGAGCATCCGTTTACGACACCTCCCGCACATCGTGTTCCTTGCATCGTTTCGAGTCTGTCGGTGTCATCCTTGGTCTCCGTCGACGGCGGCGCGTGAGGAGGTGAAGCGGTCAAAGTTTCGATTTGTTGAAATCGAGCTCTCCGCCGTTCAAAATTGTGAACCGAGCTTTGTAAGTATCTCGAAATCGCTCAAAATAATTTTTAAGAATTTTTTCGGGAATTTAGCACTGTTCACTCGCCCCCACGCCGCCACTGTGCATGGGGAAGGAAAAAGTGACCGGTTTGACCGGTTTTGGAACAGTTTTGACCGGTCACAACCCGACCCGTTGACCGGCGTTGACCAAAACTTTGACAGGCTTTGACCGGGCATTAAACGACCTTTGACTTTGACCGAGTATACCTATGCTGACATTTTTCGATGTTCCAAATCCGATTCCGCAGTCCATTTTTCAAAATTCAGACCCGAAGGCCTTGATATTGACAGTCAACCCGTTGACTTTGATTTTGACCGAAAATTCCAAATTTTTGAAAAGTCATATTTTATGCTTTCGACGTCCTGAATCCGAATCCGAAGTCCGTTTCGCCAAATTCGAAACCGGTAAGCTGTTTTTTTACTGATTTATCACCCGATTCGATCCATTTATCGTAATTAAGCTCCGTTTTTTATATAATTTATGTTGATATGTATCTGAGAATTATTGGAAGTTGAATTCAAGATCGAGGGGATTCAAATGGAATTTATTGGTCGATCAGTATTGCATGGAAATCGAGGTAATACTTTACTACCTCTTTATGCTTTATAGAACATGTTGGTATTGATAAATGCATGACTGGAAATGTTTGGTCTCATATGTGTAATTAATGAATATCTACACTAGATACGAATACGGTAGAAAGTAGGTAACTGAATATGGCTTAGATGACTATTATAAGAAATTGAAGGACAGTTGGAATTAAATTACAAGTTCTGGAATTAAGTGATAAAAGAATCAGTCATATATATGTAGATTATAATTTATCTCATTAAAGGTACTTAGATGATAAATTATGAGAATATTTCGATTAGGTAAAATTACGAAATTACCCTTATGTTGGAAAATGACAAGAATTGTCCCTGGAAGTGGATTAATAAATTTAAAAAGAATTACTGATATGCTAAAACTATTGATATGCATAAGAAATGTTAGTTTTACTTGGAAATTATGGATAACCGGGTTTTAACCCCAAGAAGGTTTATGCTAGATACTAGAAGTCTTTTAAGGAATCATTTCAAGATCAAAGAATGTTCGAGGAAGCAATTAATCATAGGATTTCTATATTATATTATTTTCGTTAAGAGCTAATATCGAAATTATCTGGTTAAGAAATTATGAAAATGCCCTTGAGAGGTAAAATAGTCAGAGTTGACCCTGAAGGAGAAAGTACTTTGAGGATTTGTACTTAACTCGATTAAGTACGAATTTAATTATTAAGATCATGTCTTTGTAAAGAAAAATTCAAGATTTTTCGTTTGTAAAATCCGAGAAGGCACTTGACCCGAAAATATCGAGTTATGAGTAAATACCTAAAGAACAATTTATCGGAGGGTGCTCTTTTATCAGAATTGTTCGAAAGGACTGGAATAGATGATAAATTAGAATTAAATAATAAGACCGGATGGAGGGAAAAAATTGAAATACCGTAAATCTATAAAATGACCAAAATACCCCTGTTATAGAAATGACCCAAGAATATCACCAATCTCAAGAATGATTGGATATCCTCGAACTCTGAAATGAATGGAATAAAACTGAGCATCAAAATGACCAAAATACCCTTATGGCTTATATTAAGTAAATATCTTGGATTAATTAAGGAATCCAAATAAGCATAGGTGTTGGACTACCTTTAGAAGTTATGGAACAGAGCTTAAGTGAGTTCATCAATCTTAATGATATGTCAGTACCTGAACGGCATATATGTTACTTGAATATTTGTTCGCCTTCTCAAGTTTGGTTCGATGATAATTTTGGAAGTACTCAGCCCAGCCCAACTCTATATCGCCTCGGTACTAAGAAATATATATATTCATTAGACAAATAAACCTCGAAGACCAAATTGAATTGAACGGAAGTACGATATGTATACGAATTTCAGAAACGTCTGGATTACCTATAAAAACCATGAAGTATCTGAAATAGACTTGAATACTAAATGAACTAAGTAACCTCAAAGACTGAGGATTAAGTAAGAGATTGGAATAAGTTTGGAAACTTGGATGAACTTATATGATGTATTATCCCTATGGATTATGAACCACAAATCAAGTACGACAGTATTTCCTGGTATAATTGAAACATGGAAATGAAATAAAGACCATTAGAATATTTGTTTGTATCCTTAAGATTTATTCAGTGATGACTCAGAAGATGATATGTGGATAAAAATATTTGGTATTAAAGAGTAAATACCCTAGAAGGTCAATGAATTGACAAGTTGGTAAGTATTGGTTCTGGGAGCTATTCATCTGGAGTTGTTCAATAATCAGATTAATCGTCATAGATTGTAAAGATTATGAATACCTTCAAATTTCGTAGAGATTCAGAAAAGTATTCGAATAAGATAATCCCGATAAATCATATCCTGAATAACTGATGATTCTGTCAGTTAATGAACTTTTCAAATAGTTTTTCTAACTTCCGACATTCTATCGGTAAACTGAAGATTTGTGTCTCTCTACCCGATAAGATTATCCAATATCTCTGAATAATATATGTAAACTCTGGTGTGTTCCCTAATCATATAAATATTTTATCTGATTTCCGACTTGAATTTTGTTCTGCTATATGACCTGAATTCTGTTCTGATTTCTGATATGGATTTTGTTCTGATATCTGTTCTGAATTCTGTTTTGATTTCTGATATCTCCGTTTAATGATAGAAAAATGTTTTAATTGGGGGGTATTGTTGAAGGAAGTATTTTCGCAGGTTCCTCGGCTTTGTGCTCAGGGCCTTATATGATGTGTTGGGTTGGGTGTATGGTTCTGGGGAACCTACACATTCTGATGTGATGGGATGGGGTATATATATATATATATGTTTTAAAAGATCTGTATCTTTTTACTGGTTTTACGGGAACACACTAGATAACCTATTCTGATCTCCTGAACTCAGTCATCCGAAATATTTGTCTGAACTGAAAGCTCATTGTCCGTTACCATCTGAAATATCAGTAGGATCTCTGCTCAACATAAAATCTGTAAATGTTCGGAAATAATAAGGATATGTATGTTTATCTGTATCTGCACATTCTTCAGCATCATCTGGTAGTTCTGTATTACTGAGCTTTTCGAAGCTCATTCTATTACTCACCTTTTCAGGTTAAAAAAATTGTACCAATGCATCTATCGACTTCAGTAAGGGAGTTCTTCTGGCGTTGTTGCAGAGTAATGTACATGTGATTAGGGGGCATGTAATTGTATTTTGATTTATATACGAGTCTGGAAATCTGTTTTATTTTTAAATAGCAACAACTGATTTTATTAGTTTACATGTACTGATAAAAAAAGTTTTAAATTTTCCACTATTTTTACAGTGGGTCGCTCCGGTGGCCCAAATGTGACACCCCTGATCGGATCTGGTTACCCGCATCGGTCTGGGGGTTACATTTATTTTTAAAATTTTAGAGAAATTTTAGTTTTTTAAATAATAATAATTTTAAGTTTTTAAAACAATTATTTTAAAAAATTATAAACGCACCGCATATCATTTTTGAGTGGTTAACGATATTTTTTTAACTGCTATTATAACATAGACACTTAAAATGGTAACGTCGAAACGTTTAACACATACATTAATAAATAAAAAAGTTAATCACCTAAATGAGAAAAAATATATAATTTAAACATTTTTATATTGAGTCATTTTTTACAAAGCTCTAGATTACTCAAATTTTCCTCTACTTTTTTGTTTTTGAAAGAAATCACTAATTTTATTCAAAATAAGAAATATCTTCGATTGCAATAAACATTTACAATTATAATCGTAAATTAAGCACATAATTAGGACAATTTCCTATAATCATTGAAATAAAACTAACAACTTAAAAATAACATAAAGATCATACAAGGAAAGATTAAAATATAACCAAGCAAACTTGAACAAAGATAGATACAAACAGATCTGATCGCATCAGCAAACGAATCACAAAAGTAGATCAATCTACTAAAAGACCGCCGAAAAATCGTAAATCATAATCGAGCTACGTGAAAAGTTATCCACGAACGCATAACAGGTATCCAAATCCAATCCGATGGTCCAAAGCAGGGAATATCAATAATATATCGATAAGCGTCATATTGATCAGACGTCGCGATGTCTAATGAACCCTTATAAAAAGATAAATGAAAACAACGACCAAATGACCGAAAAACATGCCAAAAGAAAGAAGAAAATTTGTTATAGAGATAGAAGAAAACGTGTCATATAATTAATATTAAAGTTGGTTCGTCGCCAATAAACAAAGATAACAAAAAGAGATAAACGGCTTACCAATAAGAGAAAATTAAAATAAAAATTTGAAAGAGAAAAAGGGTAAAACTATTTAATGATTTTGAATTATGACAAAATAGATTTTCCCTCTACTCTTAAATCGAGGATATTAATAGTTTAAGCATATATTATAATTTTAATAGATTATTTTAATTTTAATATTTTATTTAACATAATTAAATTATAAAATAAATAAGCTTTAATATTATTATTAAAATTACTCAAAATAAATATTTACATTAATAATCTTATATAAAAGTATATTAACATAATTTAATATTTACATAAATAATAATGATAGCTTTAGTGATACTAATGTCGAGAATCTAAATCGAGTAATATAAGATTATTCTATTCAAACACACGCTTAGCACTAATTAAGCCAATTCTCTTTTAAACCCAAAAACTTATTTCAAATTACATCTAGTCCCCTAACCCAGGGATTGAGGACAAAATTTAAACCAATCCCAACTCCAAGCCCTCCGATCGAAACACCAACTTACCAAACCCTAATCCTGCAAATAATTTCTCCATGTTCCGAATTTTATAAACCTTGAGGAGAGAAAAAGGAGCCAAAATCTTTGAATTATCGAAAGAAAAATGAATTTCGACGAGTACGAGTATTTGGAAAAGACAGTTGAGGAGCAGGAAGATCCGAAGAAGAAAGATGGAGTGTCGGGAGATAAGAGTGAAATAAGCTATAGGAAGAGAGGAGAGAGAAAAGAAGATGATGATGAAATCAAGAGCAGCAGAAAGAAATTGAGAGGCAGCCGCGATGAGGACGACGAGGAGAGGCGAGACCGTGATAAGGAACGCCATAGAAGTAGCCGCGATAGGGAAAGGGAGAAGGATAGGGACCTAGAGAGTAGTAGAGAGAGGGAAAAGGAAAGGGGGAGAGATAGGAGAGATAGGGATAAAGAGAAAGAGAAGGATAGGGAGAGGAGGGAAGGGGAAAGGAGAGAGAGAAGCAGTAGCAAGTCGAGAAGGCACGAAAGGGAGGAAGAAAGGGAGAGGGAAAGGAGAGAGAGAAGCAGTAGCAAGTCGAGAAGGCACGAAAGGGAGGAAGAACGGGAGATGGAGAGGAGAGAGAGAAGCAGTAGCAGGTCAAGAAGACACGAGAGTGATCGCGAACGAGACAGGGTACGTGAAATTGGCACCAGAGACAGCAGGTATCCTTCGTAATACGTTTGCAAAAGCAAATTATATGTGCAAAATTTTGTGTAAAATCACATGAAAAACCATTTTTTTTAAACTACTGTAGGGAAGTTGGTTTGTTTACTTCTGTTTTTGTGCTGTATTCCACATGATGCTATTGAGCTAGAAAACTTAGCAGGCCTCATTGTTGAGGTGCCCCTGGCAATTGAAGCTCATGCTATATTTTGATGCTTCAAAATTCATTTATTTGATTTGATAGGAAAGAAATGGTGTGAGAGAGTTTGATATTTGCATGTATGATTTAGAGTTGCAAAACTTCTATACCATTTGGATGGGCACATTTTACATGAAGTGCTTTTGGTTGCAGGAGATTTAAAGATAAGAAAGAAGTAGTGGAGCCTGAAGCTGATCCTGAGAGAGACCAGAGAACTGTTTTTGCTTACCAGGTAGATGCATCGCATCTTCTTCTTTTTTATATATATATATATATATAATTAGACAAAAACATTATGCTAATGTGTGTTCAAACATTTATTTCTTTTTCATTTTCTCTCTTGATTAACTCTGATGACAGATGCCTCTAAAAGCAACTGAGAGAGATGTCTATGAATTCTTCTCAAAAGCGGGCAAGGTTAGTCAGGTTTTACTTGGTTAATTTATATCTTGTGTGCGGGTTTTAGTGCAATTTGTCCAATGTAGCTTTCAAGTATTCCACTGCACAGTAACTGGTTTGAGGAAAAATAGTAGAATGGTTTTGAAATTAGAGTGTACATTTGAAATACTAGGTTTGTTTCTCCATTAGGAATTTAGGACACCCATTCCCATCTTGAGATTTCTAGCGTGTAGTTATCTCATTTTGGATAGCTGCAATATTTCTTAAAATCCATCAACAGTTCTTACCTTTCTGAAAATAACAATAAGTTGATTTATAAAACAATGTATAGAATGATTATGAATGCATATTATTAAGTTACATCTGCTTCCGCTTGCAGTATATTCTCCACTGGCTTCTGTTACGAGTAGTATTGTGATTTTCTTGTGTCTCAACATAGTAACATACAATACATGTGGGGTGAGTTAAAGCACATCTGTTAAAGAATACAATCTTGCAGGCGCCCACAGATTGGTTATTGTGATGCTTGAAAGTCTGGAATCTCCCCGTGTTTTTTATTTTTTGAGGCTATTATTTATGCTTAATCTCATTCTGTTCCCCTTTATTTTTTTTTCAGGTGAGGGACGTTCGATTGATTATGGATAGAAACTCAAGACGATCAAAGGGAGTTGGGTATGTTCCTTTATGTTGAGAAAAGTTGATACTTTCTTTTGCAATCTTGTGAAATAAGTATTAGCATCTTTGCTTTCAAGAATCAAATTTAACTGTATTCTTAAATGCACTAGCAATGCGATAATGATGAGGGATGATGGGAATAACACTCATGTTTAATCAATTCATGCTGCGTTCACAAGGTAGATGGCATAAACCTAAATTTTTTCTTCCCATCTCTCTTCTTTAATTTTCTTTACATAGAAGGCAACATGGGTATTTTATTCCGATCCTTAACTTTGTATTATTATTTAATGATACTTCAAACAGTTGAATCTGAAAGTAATCCGTCTTAAAGACTTGAAACTCCCTGGGTAGGCCTTATCATTTTTCTAAAGGTTAAATAATTGGTTGGTACATGAAATATACCCAATCCCTTAATGTGGTATATATGTTTTTTTCGTTCTCAATTTCATATTGAGGTTTTATGATGTTAACGACTTCTCCCTTCTCTGTGACGGAATCTGTCAAGCCAACGATGGGCCAATCAGAAAGTGACAGCACTTTTTTTTTTAAAGAATCTCCATTTACAAAAGATATAATAGAAAAATTAATCCTCAACGTTTCATTGAATTTTTAATTTTGTCTTATTTTTTTACAATGCTAACTTCATTGTTTAAAAAGTTTTCAAATAAGCTCTTTTTATTACTTATGCTCTATTATTTCACTAAAATTTTCTGTTAAAGAAGTCCAAAATTTTTCAAATTTCTCTCCTTTTTATGAACGTTTCCACTTCACTCCCTAAAGCTCCTTCAATGGCTTTTTTCCTTTTCTTCTTCATTTCATTACTCTCTTTAGCATAACCAGAAATGGACCATCCAAAAAGCAGAGTCTAAAACGATGCCAAGCCCTACATTTTCACTACCCGCAAGCATTGGTACGGGTCTTCCCTTTCATGGATCCTTTTCCTTTCGACCCCAACCCAACTCCACTTTTATGACACCGTTTTCATGGATTCTTCGCTAAGGTTACTCCTACTTAAGCCGTAAATATTCAAATGCTTCCCCGTGTTGTCGTAATCTCCGAACAAGTCTGGCGCCTGCACACCATGCACTCTCCTATTGAAGCCTGAACAAGTCGTCAAGCTTCAAATGCTTCCCCATGTCACAGTATCATGGATGAACTTGTTAACGACATTAAACTTCCAAATTGAGAACAACAAAATCGTATGTACCACAAAGAGGATTGAGGAATTGGGTATATTTCATGTACCAACGCGGTATTTAACCTTTTTTCTAACATATTCTGACTCAAAAAATTGTTGAGGTTGAAAGGAGGGGTTGGGATGTTCATTTTGGTTCTTAATATATGATTTTGATAACTTTCAAGGTTCATTTTGATATCCTAGTTCTATGAGTGTAATCTAGGTTATAGGTGGTATATTCCAGTCTTTTACTTCTTTTGATATTGAAAAGGATGAGCCAATCCTTTAACCTCCTTTCCGAGTCCTTTTGTTTTGTTTGATTATCATGTAGTATGATTCTTTTGTTGTTTGATTACAATTGTGTATGATATCTATTCTGCTTTTCTTATATTGATATGTTGATCTAACTTTTTTTTATCACATGAGACATCAGATTCAACAAAAGATACTCAGCATGAGCTTTCTGCACTACAGTTTTTCTTTCCCTACATCTCTTTGCTATATTCTTTGTAAGTTTTGGTTGTAATTCTTTCTCATATTTTCTGAGAAACTAATTAAAAAGTATAAGTTGCAGGTATATTGAGTTTTATGATGTGATGTCTGTGCCCATGGCCATAGCATTATCTGGTCAGCTGCTTCTTGGTCAACCTGTGATGGTTAAACCTTCAGAGGCTGAAAAGAATCTTGTTCAGTCAAATGCTTCAGGTGCAGGTGCTGGTAGTGTTGCTGGGCCATATGGAGCTGTTGATAGAAAATTGTATGTTGGAAACTTGCACTTCAATATGACAGAAATGCAGCTTAGACAGGTTAGGACCATCAACTCATCAGCAGAATTAGAAGTTATCATTTTTCGATTTGTTTTACAAACAATTGGTAACAGAATTTCTTTTATGTTCTCTAAACTTGATTCTACTTGCTGGTTGGTTTGTTAACTTGTTAAAAGGAGAACTGTTGATGAAACACATTTTAATTAGTTGTAGTTGCTTTGGAAATTTGCAGAATGAGTCTCATGAATGTGTATCAGATGTCCTTTTTTCTTTAACCCTTTTTCTTGAAGATATTATTCAGTTCTATTTTTATCATCATAATTATTTAGAGGTACATTTTTTTTCTCTTGAACATTTTTCTTTTCTTGATATTAATGGCTCAGATATTTGAACCTTTTGGTCCTGTGGAGCTTGTACAACTACCACTTGACCTTGAAACTGGGCAGTGCAAAGGTTTTGGGTTTGTTCAGGTTAGTTATAATTGAGACTTTATAACGTTTGTTTCCCATATGATAATGGTATAAACACATTTGTTTGTTCTTTACAGTTTGCTCAACTTGAGCATGCAAAAGCAGCTCAAGATGCTTTGAATGGCAAACTGGAAATCGCTGGTCGAACCATTAAGGTAAGGTTGTTAGTTTCATGAGCATGTGGCGTTATGATGCAGTCTAATTGAAAGGCTCTTCTTCTGTGGCAATTACTGGCTCTTTTTTTAGTTTTCCCAATTAACATCATTCTGGTTTTATTTATGTTTAGGTTTCATCTGTTACTGATCATGTTGGTACCCAAGACCCTGCAGCAAAATCTGCTGACTTTGATGATGATGAGGGTGGTGGTTTGGTGAGCTAAAATGCATATTATTATGGTTGTATTTTACTATTACTGTTTTTTTAGATTTGTGCTCAGTTTTCCCCATCCTAATAGTAGTTCTTAGGAAATGGTTCTGCTTTCTGCTTAATTAGTTTGTGTATCTTTTATCCAGGCTTTGAATGCTCAATCAAGAGCATTGCTTATGCAGAAACTGGATCGCTCTGGTATTGCAACAAGGTAGGTTTGTACTTTCAAATAGGCATTTGCAGTTTAATAATAGTGTAATAATAGAATTCGGTACACTTGCAATGCGAGTATTTATTATATTATTAATTTTCATTTGAAGAGAAATTATTCAGGTAGTTTTATGTAAACGTGGGAAGTTCTCTTAACTTTTTAATTAATAAAATTTTTAAGTCAAAAATACTATTTTTTGTTCTTGTTTCAGTTTTGGATCTCCTATAAGTTTGATTGAGTTGTTGCACTTTACCTTAACACCAAACTCAGTTAGACTTTAATAGTAACTAGAATTGCTCAAATCCACTGTGTGTGAGAAATATATATATTTTAATTAATCATATCTTATAATAAAAATAATACATGGACAAAATTTGGGTAGCTATTTTTAAGCAAAAACATGGGTTTACGTGGATGGTTACTTTTTTGTGTAAAAAAACCACAAATAATTTTAAACATTTTATTAAAATAACTATATTTGTTTTTGTTGTCTTCTTTTCCCCCAACCGAGTTAGCTTCAGTAAGAGATTTTATGATAGTATAAATGTCTAATGTAATACTTTTGCAGTATTACGAGCTCCCTTGGAGTACCCCTCCTTAATGGGTCAGCTCCTAATCCACAGGCTGTTATGCTACCTGTCAATGGCCAAGCTGCATATCCATCCCCAGTTCTTCCTCCAATCATGTGTGCTACACCCCTTGATCCTATTGGACAGCCCAGTGAGTGTTTGTTGTTGAAGAATATGTTTGATCCTGCAACTGAGGTTTGGAGTTCTCTTGTTCTAAACATGTTAATATGTTATTTTCTTGTTACCCTTTGTATTCTTTTTTCCGGCTTTTGCGTCATTGTATGAGTCGGTGATTTCTGTAAGTTCTATTGTAGACTGAACCTGATTTTGATATGGAAATTAAAGACGATGTAGAAGAAGAATGCAGCAAATATGGCAGGGTGAAGCATATATATGTGGACAAGTAAGTGTTCCACTATTTGTTACATTGTATAAGCTAATATTCTTACAACTATTTATTTGTTGACCTTATTATTATGTTGAATTGTGGTTACTATATACTTTTATAGCCTTTTTAATTAATAAATATTGAATTATTATCTATGTCTAGCAAGGGCGAGTTCTATTAATCTGTAAATATGTAATTGAAGATAAATTTTGGATGGCTACCTTTGTAAGGAGCTGGAGCTTGAATGTAGTGACGTATAGATACCTCTTCTTTCTCCATTGCAGTAATTTATTCCTTTGGATTTTGCACATTAGAATTCCTAATATTATGCCTTACCTGTGTTCTATATATAATAATTCATATGAAGAATATACATGGATTTTAATATTGGAATCTGCATCCTTAAATTAGGTGTTCTATAGATGATGTATATCTTGTGGTATTTGACCCTTATTGTCTACAATGTAGGACTTCAGGTGCTAATCAATGACTAGTGACATCTTATTTTGTATTCAAAAGCTTTCTTAGGCTAATCATTTTAACTTGACAGATTTCCCAGTTCATTTTTTGATGAACGAAAAGTTTTAACTTTATTCGAGTAAAGAAGGATATGCTTTGCTTTTTCCAAAGTTGCATTTAGGGCAAAATGTTTTTCCTTTAAGTGTTAACACTTAGATATTTTGAACAGAAACAGCGCTGGTCATGTCTATCTTCGATTTGATTCCGTAGAAGCAGCAGGAAAAGCTCAACGTGCAATGCACATGAGATGGTTTGCGGGTCGCTCAATATCAGCCTTATTCATGGTAAATGTGTTTTCCGCCCTAATATCAGCCTTATTACGGATGATTTTCAGTTGACCAAATTCATGAATCAATGCAGCCACCCCATGAGTATGAAGCGAGGTTTAAAGGATGAAGTCGGAGAATTCGAGGATGATTTCTCAATGTGGATGGATGGTGGGTTATTTTGTCAACTCTGTTTCTATATCCATACACAACTGGCCTAAATGTAAGATTATAATGATTTGTTTACGCACATCTGCACTATGAACCTGATTTGCCCTGTTGTTTGGTCAAATTTGAAGTATTATTAGCAATCTCGGTTGGATTTCTGCTGTTGAATTCAGAAATGTCTTTACAAACGAGGCCAGCATCCCTATTCGAGCTGATTTTTCTAATTAAGATAGTTATTGAATTGTTAATATGGATGTGGCCGCTGGATAATGTTCAACTTCCTTGTGTTTAGCGTCAATCGTTTAAAACATGTTTTTAGGTTTCATTCAAATTATTGATCTATAAGTTTCTTGGTAGGAGAGGAGAATAAGAACTACAAAAAATTATTAGAAGGAAACCTGGAAATAAAATTAAAGTGGTTAATTAGACGGAAAATATATAAAATGTCAGACTTTTAGCTAAAAATATGCTAAGATTTTATTAAAAAATCATCTCTATGTTATTATTTAACGAGGACTAAAATAGAAGGTGAAAAGGCACAGTAGCTTTACTATTGAATCTGAATGAATGGTAGTAAACGCTACACAAACCAAATCACTTTGAAATGAACAAGATTTGTGAGTTTTGTATCCTTGTCAACATAAAGGTCATAGAGGGAGGGGGTGTTTCATATATAACCAAAGACCTAACTAGAAAAGACAAAGGTCATCCATTTCAATTCTCCATGGCATTTGTTCCTCTTTCTCCTTCCAACCAACTCGTACGAGGTGTCAGTTCTATGACCAATTTGGTCACAAAATTAGCCACCGTCTTAAGAATGCCATTGAAAAAGTAGTCTGACGGAAATAATTCATAGGTGAAGTGACATAAAACACACAATTATTAAAAGACGAGTCAAAACTCTTAATCGTATCTTCCCTTTAAAATTCTATTAAACCTGGCTTTATAACTATCATAAATACATTTGGTTACTAAATGACAAGTTGAAACTCTCAATCGTATACTAAAGGACAAGTCGAAACTTTCAATTGTATCTCTTCTCTAGAATTTCATTCAACCTAATTTCATAATTATCAGAAAATATACGGTTACTAAAGGAAGAATCGAAATTCTTGTATCTCTTCTGTACAATTTCATTCAACCTGACTTCATAACTATCATAAGATACACTTGGTTAGACAAGTCGAAACTCTCACTCATATCTCTTCTCTAAAATTTCATTCAACCTGACTTCGCAATTATCAGAAAATAACTCGTATCTCTTCTTTAAAATTTCATACGCAATTATCAGAAAATACACATAATTGCTAAAGGATAAGGACGAGTCGAAACTTTCACTCCTAACTTCGCAACCATCACAATACACATGGTTATTAAACGGCGAGACGAAACTCTCACTCCCATCTCCAGAATTTCATTCAAATTATGATCATAAGTATCACAAAATACACATATTTCAAATCTCCTTTAAATCATCAACCCGTAAGATTGAAATCTAACAAAGTGATGAAATAAACACAAACACAATGAATACAAGGAAATAGTCCAATATATTAATTGAATAGAGAGTAAATACAATGAATCTCTCAAAGTAAACTATTCTTAAGTTGACAACAGTTTGATGAATGTATGTATAAAGCTGCATAAGACTAACTTTGATTTATGAGCTTACATTACATCGGGCAACTCCGGAGTCAACAACGAACATCAATGGGAATAAATATTTGGGACTCCCCAGGGAGCCAACTTAAGGAACATACCCATAAAATCATTTTTAACCTTAACTACAACCCATGAATATATATATAATAAAGAATTAATAGGAAAAAAAACAAATAAAATTTGTGTCAGCCTATATCTACACCAACCCCCAAACTATAATATTTTGCCTTCATTTCAGCTTGCCACCGCAAACATACCTAACTGTAAGAGACCATAAACTGAAGATCTCGAGCTGCTTCGGTTGCTGCAGTTTCTTTGCGTCATCCGACCGGCCATCCGGCCATCTCCTAGTCATCGCAGTTCAGACCACAAAGTTCTAATATGGGGCCATTTTTCGATACAAATGGATTTATTCGCACCCACATAAGAGTCAAGATTGAGGCCAGCAGAATAGACCACACCAATATGATGGTTGGCATCCTGTCTTGTTTCCCAAGCAAACCTTTGAGGAAGGGGTAGAGGTGGATAATAACCCAGAAGGCAAAAAATAGTCGACCGAATAACGGCCCCCACGAATCATACCCGTTATTGATGGCATCCGAGATCCCGACCACAACACCGATTATGTTTATGATCAGTAAGGTGGTGGGAGGGATCAACAAGGACGTCCACTTGAAGATGTAAAGTTCCGAAAATTCACCATCATCTGCTGCCTTAGAGGTCACAGTGAAGCTTGTGCTGACACCAGCAAGAACCTTTAGTAAACCCTGAAAGAGGGCGAAAAGATGCGATGACACACCTCCAATCACCCAGAACTGCTCATTCCTCCACCAGTCATCGATTCCAACACCGCCCCATTGCATCTCAAGAATACCGGTTACAGCGATTGATATGAAGAGAAGCATGAATACGAGACTGGCGTAGTTGCTAATCTGCAAGTAAGGCAGGATTTCATGTTAGAAAAGACCCGACTTAATACAGACGATAAAAGCAAAGCAATCAACCATGCAAAACAGGCACTTGAACTTACAAACGCAAACACAAAACTCAACCGATAAATATACCAAGGCGTAGTGGTTCTATTTTCCGAGGTTAAAAGTAAAAATTAATATGATGGATAAACAATCAGGAGATACTTCATAACTATCCAAATCATGATATCATGACATGGTCAAAGCCAACCAGCAACACATCTAAAACTTCAATTACAATATGCTGGGACAGGCACATGGTAGGTTCCAAACAGTTATCATTGGTTTAATATAAAAAATCAAAATAAATTAATATGATTAACTTTTTTTCTCTAAATGCTAAATTTTAGTATGGAGCATAAAACAAGAAAAAGTGGATTTTTTACCTCGGGAACAATAAACTGTCCGGTAAGGAGACAGATAGCTGGAAGGGTACAGTAAACAACCAACGGAATGGATGTCCATGGATATACAACCGAGTTTATGTAGGAAAATCGTTCCAACCATTTCAACCCACCCCCATATCCATACCAAATGGGACAATGTCTGCTTAAGAAAATTTCAACAGATCCAAGAGCCCAACGCAGAACTTGGTGCAGACGATCTGAGAGGTTAATAGGAGCAGAACCCTTGAAAGCAGGGCGTTTGGGTATGCAGTACACAGATCGCCAGCCATGACAGTGCATCTTGAATCCAGTCAGGATATCCTCAGTCACCGAGCCATATATCCAACCAACCTGTGTTGTAAGAAAATTTTGATGATCAGATGTTCATAAAATTACAACTTCCTATATAAGAGCTAGGATTTATTTTCAGGTTTCACTTACTTCCTTTCCCCATTCGGTTTTATCTTCATAACCACAGCTTATGACTTGAATAGCTTCGCTCAGTAATGATGCAGGGCTTGCATTTTGAGGTACTCCGCCATTCTCCATAAGTGTGGAAGCCACAAAAACAGGGGACTGACCGAATTTCTTTTCCATTTTCATTTCTGATGTGTCTGAAGACTTCTGAGAATTCAACTCTGATAGAAAACAGGTTATAGTTTAGAACATCATTCTAAAAGTACACTGTAGAGTCATTATAAGATTAAGGAACTGTCATTGGGCCCCTCTTAACGAAACCTTACCGATAATTCCCTCTTCAATGTTTTCAAGAGCATGTATCTGCTTTGAACCTTCCCTTGGCTTAAACTTCTTTGGCTTTTCTTTCCGCTGCTTGGTTTTCGCCTTCTTTCTTGAAAAGCACAGGCAACAGAACCATTTCGGCAAACAATTGCAGGTCTTGCCAGGAGGTTTCTTGGTGACTGGAGCATCAAAACCGTAAAGTGCTTGCCTTCTGAAAACACAACCTGTTCCAACATAAATTGGTCCTTGTATGCCATCCAATCCTTTCATGTTGATCTGTTTTCAAATTACAATATTAAATTTTGAAAGATGCCCAAAATAAAGAAAATATAGGGAAGAAATGAAACACTTACATCGAAGAACACAACATTCCTATTTGAGTATCTATCATGTCGATCAATTCCATCAAATCTTTGAGGAAACTGCACGTAACAAACTTTCTTCCCTGAAATTGGGTCCATCATGAAACACATGGCTTCTCTAAGTGCTTTGCTATTGTTAATATAGTGATCACAGTCAACGTTCAGAAGATATGGAGCATTTGAGAGGACTGCCGAGACTCGTATCTTCAGTAAAAACAATGGAAGTTCATGAGCATGAAACCATTGTTAAATTAAATGCCAAAAAAAATGAAACAGAAATACAAAGATATTGTGCCTCACCAAAGCATTCATTGCCCCGGCCTTTTTATGGTGTTCAAAGCCTGGCCTCTTTTCACGAGATACATAGACTAAGTAGGTAACTCATTGCCTTCCACATCTCGAACACCACTATGACCAAGGAAAACCTGTCAACCGAAAAATAGTTATGTGGTGCAACTAAGAACATCAATGTCAAATGATGAATACAGCTGAGAACTAAAATAAATCCGTTCTCCCAATCAAAAATCACTGTAGGGAGTCTAGCGTATGACCACATGCAGGTCCATCAGAAACAAGGAAAAGAAATGGTACAGCGGTGTAACAAACAAATCCTAAAACTGCTGTTCGGTAAAAGCTCTTCATCATTCAATTGTTGTGCATTACAGGCAATACAAAATATAATTAAAAAAAACCACAGCAAGTCAAATGCAACATCTCACCTGAATCATTCCAGGATGGTCACGAACATTGTTTCCCGGCCATGGAGTTCCATCCTGCATTGTCCAGCCATCCTCGGGAACCTTCTGTGCTGTTGAAACCAATCCATTTATCCTAACCTTAAATTCTTCATACTCTCTCTGCACAATCAAATATTATGCCTTAACAAACAAAGCATTCCATGATATCAAGTGCAAAACTCATAATTTCTAAATTCAACTTGGGCCAATTAGATACTGAAAATGATTTTTGGAACTTAAAATATGAATGAAGTCAAACAGATCCCATGTTGAACGAAAAGAGCTCTCGCACCTTCATAGCTCGCCTTTCTCTGACAAAAGCTGGATGAACTTTGTTTTTTAGGTAGTCCATCTTCTGAGAAAAATACCACTCTGGAGCACGGGGTTCAATATTGAATTTTTTACAGAAAGGAACCCATTTCCTAGCAAATTCGGATGTCTCAGAGAGTGC